ATATATATATATATATATATATATATATATATATATATATATATATATATATTATATATATATATAATATGTGTATATTATATTTCTACATGGGTACACGGGCTAGGTAGTGGGATCCAAGTAAATGTTTAACAAATTTCTAAAGTGTTGTTGTTGCATGCATCAAGAGGAGAGTTTAGGGTTTAGGGTTTACGGTTTAGGGTTTTTTTGCATGCGCTGAAATGTTGCAGCAAAAGTTGCAGCACTGCTACAGCTTTCATCTGCATCACCACCAGCCCCTGGTCTTCCTGCTGCAGTTCCCTGGGTGTATGGGGGGCTTACAGGCGGCTAAATATGTTATAAAGAGTTATTTATATTGTTTTTATTGCAGAAAAAGAAAAAAATTAATAAATATTGAGAGGTTTCCCCTCCCTATAACCGCCTCTGGCTGATGCTGGCCGCCACCGCAGTGAGGCGCTTACACGGAAACCGATGCAACCACGCCACTGCTCCTTATGGTATTATATCATCATATTGCTGCAGAATAATATTATTTTATTTTTTAATGTTTTATTTTTATTTTTATTTCTTTTTTTTTTAGTATAACCCCCGAGGAAGGCCTCATCACCGGCAGGGTATCACCACCTAGACGAATCGACACAGCCGACTTGCACGCCCGAGAACCGAAACACAGATTTTTCATGCATGTAATTACATTAAAAAAAATATATATATAAGTATATTTAGAGTTAAATATATATTTTATAAGCATATTTATAAATATAAATATATTTTTTCATATAATTGTATATTGGAGACGTGCTCTCGATCATTCATGTATACAGCCCCAGTCAGTGCCTCATTGCCGGTTGCAGCTGCAAGCTGGTGGTAGGAGCAGAGGTAGAGGGTGTTTATTATATAAAATAATAACAAAAAAAATAATAAAATAATATATAGTTATAGAATTTAATTTCTTTTTCAAGTTTATTTTCATATTTTACTGCTACTTTCCCCTCGTCTTCTGCCGCCTGAGCCTTCTCCATGCTTGCATTGCATACATGGGGCTGCCTTTCTCTGCATGCATATTCTACCTAAAACCCTAAACAAATTTATTTTATTTTTCTTCTGATGAACCCCCCGAGCTCAGCACATACTGGGGGCCCCCCCGTCCCCCCCCAGGGGCGTTTCCTAGGCAGAGGCCGCAGCTACAGTTCAAGCAGCAAGAGGTTCAGTGGTGCTGCTTTTGCTGCTCGTGCTGCTGCTGCTCCTTCTGGTGTTCCTCGTTTCTCTGGGGCCCCCTACGGAAGATCCGGGGGCCCCTTTGGGTCTTCGGGGCCCCGCAGGGGCCCCAGGGGGGGAGGGGGTAGAGGGCGCGGGAGGGGGGCTGCTGGCTCTGCAGGAGCGGCTGCAGCAGCAACAGCAGCAGCAGCAGCAGCAGCAGCAACGGGATCAGTGGGAGCAACAGGAGTAGCAACAGCAACAGAAGCAACAACACCATCTGCTGCTGCTGCTGC